GATGGCTCAGTGGTTAAGAGTACTGATTGCTCTTGCAGAGGACCTAGGCTCAGTTTCCAGCACCCACACAGTGGCTAACAGCCATCTGTAACTCCAGTTCCAGGGGATCCAATGCCCTCTTCTGATCTCCACAGGCACTGCACACATGGGAGCACTTACATACATGTAACCAAAACACTCATGTATAAAATACAATTTAAATAAAAAAGTCAGATCACGCCAGGCGTAGTGGCACATGCCTTTAATCCCAGCACTCGGGAGGCAGAGGCAAGTGGATCTCTGTGAGTTCAAGGCCAGTCTGGTCTATATAGTGAGTTCCAGGCCAGCTGGGGCTACGGGGACACCCTGTCTCAAAAAGATCTCCCCCAAAAAAGATAGTAATAATCAGATCTTGTGTGATTAGGGAACGAGTAGCTGCATCAACTAATCCTTACCGTAGTTTTTAGACTGTTGCCCTTGTGCTCACAAACACTACAGCTGAGGTCGCACATACTGGGCCTGCATAAGACTGGACCTGACAGGAGCGAGTCATGGAATGTGGGGGTAGGGGACTATTGGTGCTCTGTCCCTCCCAGCAGAACTATTGCCTGCTTTTGGAAATTGAAGATTTTATGTAAACTATTTTAGATCTTGTTCTGTGGTCTGAATTTATTTCAAGAAGCCATCAAACCTGCTAGTGACTTTCTTTAGTTTTTCTTTATTGTGAATGTAGGAAGTTGATTTCTTTGAAAGGAGAGTTCCATTGCCTGCACAGTCTGGCCATGGTATTGCAGCCAATGTTATACGTCTATAACTACAAATCTTTGAGCATTGTAATGAGTTTTCCAGCTTGGCTCTTAATAGTGTAAATCAAGATTCTCTGCTTATAAACATTGAAAGATGCCTCCTTCAGAAACAAACTTTTTGTGTTAATATAGAAGAAACAATCCTCAAGGTTTGATTTAGCCTCTGAGTAGGGTTGGGGTTATGCGGGCTCTGTAGTTGCTGTACTGGTGTGAGTTCTCTTGTATCCTTGGTTTTGTTTCCAACAGTTTCTACCCACTGTCAATTCCAGTCCAAAAACGTTATTTGAGGGGTTTTGATGGGGGATTGTTGTTGGATATGTGTGCCCATGTGGTGTATGTGTGTTTGGATGTGTGCACACTTCCGTGTGGAGGCCAGAGGTCAGCATCGGAATCTTCTACTGCTCTCCACTTTTTTTTGACAGGGTCTCACTGAGCCTGGAGCTCATCCAATCCAGTGAGGATGGCTGGCCGGCAAGCTCTCGGGATCTTCCTGTCTCTGCCTCCCCAGTGTGGGATTACAGATCTGAACTCAGGTCCTCATGGTTTCACAGCAAGCACTTTGCCAGCCGAGCCATCTCCCCAGCCCCTTACTTGTCTTAATTCTTAAAAGAGTAGTAAGACCATATTCACAGAGATTATTATAGTGTTACAATTATTTTATTGTTGTAGATCTTTATTAGGATTCCAGTTAGAGTGGTTTACACAGTAGGGGCTGGGTAGTTGAACAATGGCTGTTTCCTAGCTGGACGTGGAAGCTCTCCAGAAAGTAAGTCACTAGTGTGGTGTCCACATTGGAAGGCCAAAGAAACCAGAGCCTGTCAGCAGAGAATTGCAGCAACAGCAGTAGATGGAGTGGCTCAAAGGAGAAAGGAATACGGGCTTAGGTCTTCTTAGACTTCTCTTTTATGTGGACCACCTGTTAGAAGGTACCACCCACCTTGAGGGTGGGTCTTCCCTCCTCTCTGTCCTATAAGACAGTTAGCTCCCCATAGAACACAGGTGTATGTCACCGTCCTAGATGTCTACCAAGACCAGCCATCTCAGTCTCTTACCTCATTTATGAATCACTCTTTCTCGTTGGTCAGTATAGAGAAGACTTAAAATAGGGTTTGGTTCTGGCTGCAGTTTGAGGTGTCCGTAGAGAGTCTTGAATATTTTGTGTGGCTGTAGAATAAATGCCTGGCTTGAGAACCATTATGGGGACCAGTGGATTAGGGTAAGAAAATCAAAGGCTATGTTTAATTATTTTGCATTTTACTTAGAGATAATCAAGGGTTCTCTAATATAAAACAGCTCCTTTTTGAGTTCAGAAAGTAGTGATTATTAAGTACTGTTAGGAAACGAAGAAAACTGTCCCCAAGTGTTTAGCTTGAAATTAGATAGCATGTGCTAGGGTGTTGTAAAGATAGTAAAATTATTTGCTGAATTATTTTGGGTAGAATGTTGGTTTCCTAATACTAGGAAAGTTGTGTGGTGGATACTACCTGTTAGTAAGATTTGTTGAGGAATTTTTTTTTTTTTTTTTCCGTTTTGGTCTTTTTGAGACAGGGTCTTCTTGTAGCTCCAGCCAGCCTGGAACTCACTATGTAGACCAGGCTGGCCTTGAACTCACAGAGATCTGCCTGCCCCTGCCTCCCAAGTGCTGGGATTAAAGACCTGTGCCACCACACCCAGCTTTGGTGAGGATTTTTTTATCCTCAAAGTTTGTTCTGCCTTTGTAGTTGCCAATCTAGAATTGAAGAAGGACTCTCTCTCCAGTTCTGAAATCAAACTCTGCCTGGGTCATCATCAGTGTGTGAGACTTGAAGGCATGATAGTTTGCACAAACTTTAATCCAAATTTGCATCTGCCTCTCCAGAGCTGGGAATAAAGGCCTGTGCTACCACACCTAGCCCCTTGTTTAATTTTGAACTCAAGTTTGAAATGCATTGTTTTTTAACTTTTTTACTTTTACAAACTCTGTGTTTCTACTTTGACTTTCTTATTTCAGTTTTTTTTTTAATATTTTATTATTTTTATTTCATGTGTATGAGTGTATTGCCTGCATGTATGTGAGTGCACCTGTGTTGTGCAGTGCCACGGAGGTCAGAAAAGGGCTTCGGATTCCCCTGGAACTGGAGTTAAGGACGGTTTGTAGCTGCCATGTGGGTGCTGGGAATCAAACCCCCAATTCTCTGCAAGAGGAGTCAGTGCTCTTAACCGCTGAGCCATCTCTCCAGGCCCTTATTTTAGATTTTAATTAGAATTCTTGTCTTGTATGAAAGAATGCTAGATAGAAAGTAAGCTTAGATAGACATTATAGTAAAGTCTTTGTGACAAGAGGCTAACACTAGGTCTAATCCTGGCATCTCTAGCCTCCTAACAGCCAGGTACTGTGCTGCCTCAGCTTGGTTCCCGTTTTGAATGTTGCTAGCTTTGACTGAGAAGAGTCTTGGATTTACTTGGTGCTCGTTGGTGGTGTTTGCCTATATATATGTGTTTATCTGTATATTTTATTCACTTGTATAGGCAGAGTTTCATTGTGACACTTTCATGTATGCATATGACCTACTTTGATCACACTCATGCAGCCCTTCAGCCCTTCTTACCACTCCCCCCCCCCCAGCCCATTTCCTCTTTCCTGGTAGTGACCCTTCTAAGTTCTTGTCTCTTTTCCCTAGCTTCCATGTGTGAGGGGAAACATGATTGCTTGTCTCTGTCTAGCTTAGCATGATAACCTCTCCATCCATTTTCCTGAAAGTGACATAATTTTATTCCTCTTACATGAATGAGTCTCCATTGTATATGCCACAGCCTCTTTATTTACTCCTGGACACCTAGGCATATTCCATAACATGGCTAATGTAAATAGATCCACAATATACAGGTCGACATGTATCTCTGTTGTATGTTGTCTTGGATTCCTTCAGGTGTATACCTAGGAATCACAGATGGATCTTACAGTAGTTCTGTTTCTGTTTCTTTTGTGGAACCTCTAAATTGATTTCCATAGTAGCTAGACTAACTTATTACATCCCTGCCAACAGTATTATGTTTATTAGGCTATGTTTTTTTTTTTGTTTTTTTTTTGTTTTTTAATATTTATTATTTTTATTTTATGTGTATGAGTGTATTGCCTGCATGTATGTCATGCAGTGCCTTGGAGATCAGAAGAGGGCTTCAGATTCCCCTGGAACTGGAGTTAAGGATGGCTCACAGCCACCATGTGGGTGCTGGGAATCGAACTTGCGTTCTCTACAAGAGCAGTTAGTGCTCTTAACCTCTGAGCCATCTCTCCAGCCCTG